CAGAGACAAAATGGATCAAGAAAGGAAGATTTTTCTTTAATAATTTTTCTGTGAATAGAAGCTAGGTTTAAAAAGCTTATTGGGCTTTTCCAGGCAGAAATATACTACACACCTTGGAAATGTAAAGATGGTGTAGTTCCAGAATGCCTTGTGCCATTGAAACGCTTGGGTAACTTCATGATAAGAAGTCCCTGAATGAACAGGAAGTACCACCATGGAGCTTTTGTTTGAAGCTGTTGTGAGTGATTTCACCAGCTGTTTTCTTCATTTTGTCCTGTACTGCTACCTCGTTCCTGCTTGCCTTTGCTACTGCTGTACTCTAGCGATGACGCACTTCAGGCTCTGAGCGCTGGACAGCAGTTGCTAACCTCAGCAGTGGCTTATTACGTCAAAGCTTAATGTGGCATATTTGTGTATCTGGAAGATAAAGCTCTAATCCTTCTTCTATGCCCAGGTACAAGTATGAACAGCTGCATTTGCAATTAGATAGTGGCCCTACTGCAGCCTTGGCAATACGTGTGAAAAGCTAATTGAGAGGGACTGTTAGTATGAGCAGAGTTATATGTGAGAACATGGTATCTGCGCATTAACATGAAGGAAGACATTTGTGAATGTCCAGAGGGATTGTGGCCTTTCTTGGATTGTGGACAGTCAAGTCTGTCTTTGTCTGTTGTACCTACACGTAGGTCTACAGACACTTCTGGAAGACATTCCCTGCTTAGTGTGAAGTTTCCCTTGCCAGGTTTCCTCTTGAAAGGGAATACACAGCTTTATACTTTTCCTTTAAACAGCTTTGCATGCGTTATACTAACCCATAGGGAACACTGGTTAAAAACTAGGCCAGGACCGAAGCAAGTTTATTAAGGCCAATGGGGCATGAGCTTTTGCTCATCTCAAGCTGTGAACTCCAGCTGGTCTGGTGCATCCTTGTATGTTGCTGGGGGCGCTCACAATTGCCCCCTCCTCTGCTCCTGGTTGGGAGGAAAGTTCAGCTCAGCACCCTGGCTGCAGCCAAAGAGCGATTGGTGCGGAGCTGCTCTGGCCCCTTCTCAGCCTCGGTACGCTACCCAAAGGCAGAGCAGACCATCCTCACCTTGCTTTTGCGGGGAAGCTAGCTGCTATTTGCCCAGTAACTAGAACGCTACTGACTGCTAATGAGAAGAGTAACAAAAAGTAAATCGGAAGAGATGGGAGGGGAGAAAATAGCTTTGGAGCCAAAGAGATTAATTGTGATGATGTGAATCGTAAGCAAACACCTTCTGCAGAAGAGAGAGCTTCTGTGGTTGGCTTCATTGTGTCCACTCTGCTGTCCATGGTGTCCCATTGTCTCTGAAAAATTAAAACCAGACAAAGTCTAACTCAGTTGCTGGCTGGTGCGAAGAATGTTTCAAGCACAGTTGAGTGTGCCGAGCAGGGAGGGAGAGAAACGGAGGGTGCAGGAGGCTCCAACAGCAGCTTCCCTGCAGCTGTGACTGCCTACCTGTGTTGCGTTTGGTGCTTCTGCAAAGTTTTCAGAGTGGCTCTTGGAAACTGCCGACTTCTGCCTTCCAGAATAGGAGGTCGAATGCCAGCTTCAGCACAGAGCTTTCCTGCGGTGGCCTGTCCACCCGGCCTTGTAGCACCAGCGAAGAACGATGTCTGTCCAGGACAGGTGGACTAGGTTATTAGATGCTGCCAACGTAATTGGCATGACCCAAATCACAAATAAAGCCAAGTATACAGAGGAGATGATACAACCAGAAACCTGCCAGCACGGCCACTGTTTCGCTGTGCTGCTGAACATCCCCCTCCTCGTCCCCATCAAATGTTGTGGCAGGAGAAAGCGGGAGGCTGAGCGCGTGCGGAAGAGGGGCTGGCGCTGCTGGGAGCCCCTCTGCACCAGGCACCCGCTGGG